CGCCTCAGCCCACACAGCCTCGGCCCGCGGCGCGCACGGACGCCGACGCCGACTCGCGGCGCGCCCGAGCTCCTCGGGCCCGTGCGCGCGCCCCCGCCCGCCCGGTGACGCGCCCCGCTCACCGCGCGCTCGCGAGGGCGTACCCTCTGGCCCGCGCACGCGCGTTAGGTCCGCCGGGCTGGCGGCGGGGCGGCTCGCTGGCGCCTGCGGCGGGAGGTGTGGTGGAGGTTTGAGCGCTTCCATCCGCTGCGAGGGTTTCGCGTTGACCTCTGCGAGCCCGAGCCGAGTTGCTCCACGGCGTCGTTGGCGAGGTCTCCTTCGGCGCGACCCTGTTGATTGCGCTGGCGGATGTTGCCTCATTCTGCACTGGGGGAAGCGGGGAAAGCCGGCTATGCTTCTTAAAGCTTGAAAGTGGACTGTTTCCGCTTGAGAACCCGTACAAGAGTCCAGTGAGAGGGAGAGCCGGGAGCCTGGGCTTTGAGCCATAGTTCAGTGACTTTAAATAGAGCATCCGATTCCCCAGTGCGATGTTCCCCATAGTCCTTACTGGAAGGTTGTGGGATAGATCAAAAGAGACAATATATGGAAACCCTTTGCCCAGGGCCTGTACCAGCAAGTGCTTAATGTTTAAAAGGTAGGTGTGGTGAAGCCCTGGGGAAGCTGCCAAAGGAAGATCACGAGTTCGAGAACAGCCTGAGCTAAGGAGAGAAGCCCTGTCTCAAAAAAATAAAAAGGAAATTGTTTAAGGTCTCTTCTGGATAACCTCTGGGTCACCTCCACAGCCAGAAAACTGGTGCCGCCCTTCCTGAGTCTCACCTGAGCTAATCCAGCCGGGGATTCCAGATTTGCTGGGGCCATATGGGTGTTGCCTGGAGTCTGTCAAATGCTTTCCCTTCCCCTCCTCCACTCGACAGAACCCCTTTGGGGCAGAGGCGGGGTCCCCCACCAAGGTGTCCAAGTCCTGGGCCACATTCCAGGGTAGGAGTAGAAAGCAGACCAGGAAATGAGTGAAAGGATCACAAGAAAAGCTTTTAAATATAAAACAGTAGACATGATAAAAGATGAAGCCTATGAAGAGGAAGGGACAATGGTAAGCACTTAAATTTGAAGCTACAGATAGTGTGAGAGTTAAGAGCATTTGCTCTTAACCTTTTTTTTTTTTTTTTTTGCTCCGACCCCAAAATGTAGCAGTTTTCCAGTAAAAGGCTCAAGATTGTTTTAAGATCCTTCTGATCGTTTCAAGATAATTTTATGTGTAGTTTTTATACATTGAACTGCATACATTTTAAAAATACATTTTCATGTATTTAAAGTTACACCATGAAAATAACCTAGTCAGTTTTACTATTATTCATGGAGAAAATGAAGGAATGTGTAAAGAATAAAATTAAAAAGCACTATAATTCCACCAGCCAAACATAACCACTGGTAAGATTTTCTCATATTTTCAAACAGGATGTTTTTTTTCGTGGATTAAGTTTATATTTTTGCATACATTAGGTTACACTCTGTATAAAGATTTATGTCTAGCACTTGTAGGGTTCTAGTGTAATCTGTATTGTTCTGTTCCATAATGACATATTTGGATTGTTTACAATATTTCTGCCACACTGACAGATACCTTTGTGTAAGAAGCCTTTCCCACAGTCCCCCGTATTTGATTATTTCCTCAGGATCAATCAACCAAAGCAGACTTAGGTGAAAGAAAGGGCTCTTGTTTTGTTATTTTTCATTTGAGGATAGGAGAGGCTTTCCCAAACATATTAAATTTTAAGAAACAAAAGTTAGACGTGACGGTTTATACCTGCAATCCCAGCATTCCCGCAGCTGAGGCAGGAGGTTTACAATGAGTTCCAGACTATCTACCACATAGGAGTACTGTCTCCACTACACCATCTCCCTAGCCCAGCCTTAGCTTTTTAACAGGAATGAACCCGAGTGAGCAAGAATTCAAACGGTGAGAAGCGTAGGCTGGGCTAGGGAGATGGTGTAGTGGAGACAGTACTCCTATGTTTGAGGACCTGAGTTCGATCCCAAGTAGCCATGTTAAAAAACAAAAACAAACAAACAAACAAAAAAAAAAAAAACGAGGAAGAGGACCTTTATAACCTCTGTGCTGGGGGGAGGGGGAGGGGAGGACAGACAGATTCCAGGGGCTCTCTGGCCAGCCAGCCTAGCCTAGACCTCAAACGCAAGATTCAGTGAAATAATCTATCTCAAAAAACTAAGGCAGGGAGTAGGATAGGAAGGCATCTGACATTGGCCTCTGCCTCCAGGTGCACACACGCACACACATGTGCACACACGTGTATACGCACACAGCTAAGACTATAATGGTAGATATATTCAATATATTCCTGACATAGACTGGGACTACGGCTTCATGAATATGTACCTATTTCTAAACTCTTCCTTAGCTACGAGCAGATTTATGTGTTAAGCATACTTCAATAAACTGTTTTCTTTTCTTTTTTGCCACGAAGTGTGTCTTATTTTCATCAATCATACAAATAATTTTCCATAATATCCCAGGGCAAACCGGTGAAATTTGGCAGTCCGATTAGTGGGGGAGGGGGGTCCCCTTCAGAGACCCGCGGGCCAGTGGCATCGGCACCGTGTGCCCGTGTTCACAGTGCAGCTTGTGGCTCGCGTCCATTTTGCAGGTGGCTCTTCCTCCACATCACGAGGGGGTCTTGGAGATGATGAGGTGGAGTGGGATGGGAAAATCTTCCTAGGCTTTTAGGAGATTTCACTCCTCTTTTCCTGTTCAGTGGTCTCTTTGGTCCGCAGGGTGTTCTTCTCCTGCATCTCGGTTTTCTTCAGCTTGGCCTTATCGAAGCTGGTGATTTCCGCCATGTCCGGCTTGTCTGCCATTTTCTTACAACTCATGAATTCTCGTTCCAAGCTCGCTCTCCAGGTGCTCCCACTCGCGTTGCTGCAGCAAGAGACCAATAAACTGTTTTCTAAAAAAAAGTAAATATAAATACACAAAACACAGGCAGTATAATAGAGAAGATGACCAAAGGACAAGGAGGAAGCTCAAAGCCCAGGGAGGTGAATAAATCTCATCCGTGGCTCCTCTAATAAAGGTGTCTGTTGCTCTGTGTTTAAAAAGTAAAAACTGAGCAAAAGGAAAATTCAGAAATCTTAACAACTATAAATATTCTCATATTTTTTCCATATATTATGGGAAAAAATAAGTGGACCTCTAGAGAAAATATTTTAAAAGTAAAGTAATAGGCATGGCCAAAAGATACTGAGCCTGTGACTATGAAGTGACTTGAAGCAAAGATAATAAAAAAAAAACTCTAAAATTTGGGAGAGATGGCTCGGCAGTTAAGAGCATTTGCTTTTTTGGAGAAGACCAGGTTCAGTTGCCAGCACCCACCTGGTAACTCACAATGTTCCATAACTCCAGTTACAGGAGATTCACACCTCCTCTGACTCCATCAACCAAAAGCATGCACAAGGTATGTGGTACATGCAGTCAGAACACTCATCACATAAAAATAAAATAAACCTATTTTTAAGAAGTTCTAAAAAAAGAAGAAGAAGCTCTAAAATGTCATTGCAAAGCCAAAAGTAATAAAACACACTTATAATCAGACTCAGGACACTAAAGTTAAACACACTTATAACTAGACTCAGGAGGTTGAGGCAGGATGACTAAGAATCCAAGAGCAGCCAGGGTTACATAGTAGAGCCCTGACACCACCACCACCTAAAAATAGCCACCTGAATCATGGTTGTACAGCTGAATACATTTACTACAACACCGTTGGACTTCACAGAAGGGGAATTTTACGGTACATAACTTATACTCCCTACAGATATCTTTAACAAGGCATGTTTTCAATGCATGTATACTAACTATATTTTTTTAATTTTAAAAAATGGCATCATCTTGTACTGATACAATATAATATGTTTATATTATTTATAATTAGTGTTTGGATTTCCTGAATTTTAATGTTATTTATGTGTGTGAATGAGTGTATGCCACATATGTGTGAATGCCCACAGAGACCAGAACCCAGGTCCTCTGGAAGAGCCACACGTACTCTTAACCGCAGAGCCATCTCTCCAGCCCCTTTCCTGAAGTTTTAGAACTTTAAAAGTAAATTTTAGCCAGTGACATGTATTCATCCAATATACAATTTGGGGCCTTATTTACCCCAAAAGCCAATTTCACCAAAAAACTAATGTAGTCCAACCCTCACAATTTACCTAGTAACTCCCTCTGATGATAAGGCTATTGTTAAAATTAGACATTTAGGGGAGGAAAAAAATGTAGCAATAAAATGACTCGTAATAACATTCTGGATACTCACAGATCAGTGCCTGCTCAGACAGCATCAGAGAAACTTGCTTCCTTCGGCAGCAGGTGGGTCAAATACAAAGACCCACCCCAGACATTATGCAGGGAGAGAACTTGAAACAGCCCTAAATATGGTATTTCCATCAAATGCCTCTCCTTGGGGCTTAGGGAACCCAAGGGAAAAGGAGTCAGAAAGAATGTAAGATCCAAAGAGGATGAAGAACACCAAGGAATCAAGGCTGCTATGCCATTACAGAGTCAACAGTGATAAAACACACTTATAATCTTAGACTCAGGAGGTTGAGGCAGGATGACTAAGAATCCAAGATCAGCCAGGATTACATAATGGAACCCTGACACCACCACCACCCAAAAACACCTTCAAAACATAACAGAGCCAGCACACATATGAACTCAGAGACCGTGCACAGAGCCTCCATGTCTCTGCACCAGTTGGGGTTCTAGAGCTGAAAGGAGAAGTGGACCTATGCCCCCAACTATACCCCAAAACCTATCTCCAACTGATCCACTAGCAAATGAAAATTCAGCTTCCTCCAAGGGAGTCTCAGAGGAGGAACAAACTACTCTTAGGGGTAGGCCGCATGCCCAGAAATAGATGACCAATAGAAAATTAAACCAACGGTTCCTTTAGAGTTCCCTGACTCAAATGTTTGTCACCCTGTGTAACCACTCAAGCTGCCCCACGTTTGGGGGTCACTTTGTAACCGCCCGTTCTGCTGCTCCAGCCCACAGGTCAGGGTCTAGCAAGCGAGAGAGAGTGGGGACAGAGAGACGCGAAGAATAGAAACAAGACAGAGGGGCTGATCAAGTCTCTTTTATTGAAAGGAAATCCTGGGTATTTATACCCTTTACCACGTGCCTTGCCCTCGTGGACAAGCCCAGCTGAAGGCACTACGTCATGTGCCTTGAAGAGTGGATATCACGTGCACCTAGCTAGCAGTGAGGAGACCACATGTGCCTAGCTGCTGGTGGCAATAAACAGCAAAACAAGATGTTTATCAGAGTGTGCTCAGCTGTTGCGGGCTGTTGAAAACAAGTCTCTTGTCAGGGTATATGGCTCCAGATGGCTGTAAAGATGATAGCCGCTTTCGGCTAAGAGTCAGCTCCCAAGAACCTTGGGGCTCTTTGTGTTTTAGTTTTGAGGTAATGTTTTCTTATTATTTTTATTCTGTTTTATTTATATTTTTCTTTTCTCTTTTTACCCTACAGGTCCTCTCTGTATATATGATGGCTTCTAGTTTAGCATTTTTTATGGGACTACATTTTTTAGGTATACAAATGAGTGGGCCTCTGTTTCTTGTGTCTTCTCCTGGGCTCTTTCCTTCTGTTTGTTTGTCTTGTCCATGCCCCATGTGTTAGTTTTCATTTATCATTATATTTTATTTTATCTTATTGTTATCCCATATAAACCTGTTTGTTTTCTAATGACAGACAGAAAGGGGTGGATCCATATGGGAGGGGAGTGGGGAGGATCTGGGAGGATTAGAGGGCAGAAAAACTGTAATCAGGATCTATTATGTAAGAAAAAAATCACTTTCCAATAAAAAGAAAAATAAAAGAAGTTTAAATAGACACTTAGCATATAGTAAGTGCTCACTAAATAGCAGGCCCTAAGTAGTTTGTATACATCGTCTTTCAATGCTGTCATTAATCGATCTCTCTAACTGTTTTCAGTGGCTGGCTAGAGTCCCATATCTACTTAGGTCATAATTTATTGAACACCTCCTTATTTGTGGCATTCAGGTCGCTTCCAGTGTTTGTCATCATAAACACTCCTACAGTAGTAGGCAGATACAAGCATCTCTGTGTGCTCTTCTGATTGTTTTCCCTTAAGATACAATCCAAAAAGTAGAACTGGTAAGACGAAAACTGCACTGAAATGATTTGCCTATGCTACCACACCAGCGTGAAAAGTAGGGCTTACTCCAGTTTACACCTCCGTGAAACACGCATGAGTGTACCGCTTACACTACACTCTCAACAGGACACCCAGATCCAGGAATACTTGCTTTAATCTTTGCCAGCTCCAAAATCCCCTCTGATTTAATGTACAGCTCTGGGATCATTGGTGCGATTGTGCCTTTTCAATGGGTTTTAGCCACATTTATTTCCTATTTTATAGGTTATCTCAGATCCGTGATGGCTACCAAATGATTTTGTTGGCATCCTACTGATGAGATGATCAAGTCTGACCTACTTTAGAGACATGTTCATAGAGCCAACTGACAGTTTAGACATTTCCACCTTGAAGTTAGGGGCCACAGGAATTATTTGATGACGCTGGGTGAGATACCGTTCAGGTTGGTCCAGATTTTCTGTTAATAAACTATTCTATCTACATGTTTGTGTTATTTATAATCAAAGTTTGACTTTCCTGAATTTTTGGAACTTAAGTAAAATTTAACCAGTCCTCATGTATTTACTTACTATATAATTTTTGGCTCCATTTTAACCTCACTGAGGAGACTAGTAATTTACCTGGAAACTCTGATAATAAGGATGTCATTAAAAATAGACACGGGGCTGGAGAGATGGCTCAGCGGTCAAGAGCATTGACTGCTTTTCCAGAGGTCCTGAGTTCAATTCCCAGCAACCACATGGTGGCTCACAACCATCTGTAATGCCCTCTTCTGGTATGTCTGAAGACAGTTGCAGTGTACTCATATTAAATAAATAAATAAATATAAAAATAGACACTTAGCATACACTGAGTGCTTCCTACACAGCTGGCCCTTGCTAAGTGGTTTGTATATGTCACCTCGTTTTAACCCCATACCAAAGCTGATAGGCAGTTACTATAATAATCTCTGTGTTAAAGGCAGAGAAACTGAAACAGAGCACTCACTTCTCGTTGATAATAATGGCAATTGCATTTGAATGCAGATCGTGAAAAACCTAACAATGTAATATTTAGGAACTCCACAAAGCTACTCGCCCTGGCCTCACCACGCTTTGTAGTAACGTTCTCTGACTACAGCTTGCTTTCCCCTCCCTTTCTTAACTTACAAAAACATGCTCCCTTCAAGACCTCAACTTTGTCAGCTCCCAAGCGTGTAAGCATGCGCGGGTGTATGTGTGATCACTTACATGTCTATGTGCTTATATGCATAGTATGAATATGTAAAGGTATGTGTAGTGCTGTGTGTATGTGTGTATTGTATGAGCATGTGCACATGTGCGATTAGCTGTGTGTGGGTGTTTGCATGGAAACATTGAGCATCAGTGCATACATGTGAGGGTGCGTATATGTTTCTGTGTTTAGAGTAGTTCTTTGAGAGTGAGGACTGGGCCAACACTCTCATCCTTGGACTTCTGAGTCTAGTGCAGTGTCTTTTCTATTGCATAAACTTTTCTTGAATGAATATGTTAAAGAAATACACACACACATACACACACACACACACATGCACACACATTTGTTCCTTTCCACTTCCACAATTCTAATTTAGACAGTAAGTTTACCAACCAGTTTTTTTAAATGCTACTGTGAACATTACAGAGGTAGCAAAGTCCTCTGATGTACTCAGTGGTATAGATACATTTTTCTATCTTCGGGTATTGTATTTCTGGAAAGGAATTTTACAAGTATTTTTTTTAAAAAAAGATACCTGTAGTTATGGCAATTAATCTCCTGAAATAGATGTGTGTGTCATTCAGAGTATTCCAAATGGGAAATTTATCATTTTCTCTGTTTTAAACATGAAAGAGAGGTAAACAATCACCTGCTTTAAGCTTTCTTCTATTTGAAAAAAAAAATAAAAAGATTCTAAAAATATCCTCAGTTCCAATTCGTCTCTCTGCGTCACAGGGAATTGTTACACACCCACTCGCTTCTCATCCCTAGTCACTTGTGCTGAAGTGAATCATGAACGTGTGGCAGTGTGACGGGAAAGAGTTACACATTAAAGCCTTGGGAAAATAGGAAATGAAAGTAATATGGCTTATAATAAGCAATAATTGGCTTATAAGTAACATTCAAATTCTGTTTAAAAACCTAGACCCATCCCTTCCAGAACACCTTCTGAATGCTGAGTACCTGGAGGCTTGTGATGGTTTGTATATGCTTGGCCCAGGGAGTGGCACTATTTGAAGGTGTGGCCTTGTTGAAGTAGGTGTGGCCTTGTTGGAGTAGGTGTGTCACTGTGGGCATGAGCTTTAAGACCCTACTCTTAGCTGCCTGAAAGTCAGTCTTCTACTAGCTGCCTTCAGATGAAGATGTAGAACGATCAGCTCCTCCTGCCTGGATGCTGCCATGCTCCTGCCTTGATGATAATGGACTGAACCTTTGAACCTGTAAGTCAGCCCCAGTTAAATGTTGTCCTTTATAAGACTTGTCTTGGTCATGATGTCTGTTCCCAGCAGTAAAACCCTAACTAAGACACTGCTCAATACTGAATTTTCTTTATTCTAACATTGGCCAAATGAGAGTAACCCAGGAGTAGAAGCCACTAGCAACCAGCCCTCTAGGGCTGCTAAAAGTTCCTATGAAGCTGGGTGTGTAGCTCAGTGGTAGAGCATTTGCTAACATGGTAAGGCTCAGGATCAAACCAGCCAACATCGACAAAAGGAGAAAGATGAGGAAGGAAGAGGAAGGAGTTTGTGTTAGTTGTTTTGTTTTTAAGATCTATGTTACTTTATTTTAGATGTGTGTTTGTTTTAGCTGCATGTATATGTGTTCACCACATGTGTGCTTGACCTGGTCTCTGTAGAGGTCAGAAGAGAGCATCTGATTCCCTAGAACAGGACTTATGGATGGTTGTGAGCCACCATGGGAGTTCTGAGAACTGAACCTGGGTCTTTTGCAAGAACAAATGCTCTTTACCTCTGAGCCGTCTCTCCAGCCCCTGCCTTGCTTTTGTATGGACTATATTTGTTCTGCGTTCTGTGTTAGATGTGACAGTTCAATCATCCTCTCACAATTATTTGTCCTCAAAGTCGTACAAAGGTCAAGAGGAGAGAATACACATGGGAAGAGTTGTGGGGAAAGCTTGGGATGAAAGTGACCAAAATACACTGTATGAAACTCTGGAAGAATTAATTTTAAAAATTATTTTGGAGTCAGGGCCTTACAATGTAGCCCTGGCTAGCCTGGAACTCACCGTATAGACCAGACAGGCTGCAAACTCACAGAGCTTCTCCTGCCTCTACCTCCCAAGTGCTGGAACTAAAAGAATACATAAAAACAAACAAAATATAACAGCATGCACAACCATGCTTGCCTAATAAAAAATAGTTTTAAAGTACTTGTCCTGTTGCTAAGCTGCTCTGAGTCACCAGACAAGGCCACACCCTCCTCTCTTAGGGCTTGCATGCATTGCACCTTTAGCACACATGGCTTCCAGCAACAGAAGCGGCTCAGATTGACAGGACAAGATCACTGCTCAGGTCAGATCTTTTGTAGCATCACAACATTAAATGACTACATGATCTCCAAGGGTTTTTGTGGGAATACAATTCTATTTCCATTCTGCCCCGATGTTTGATTATTTTCAGCGTTAGTAAGATGTCTGTGTTCATTTTTCTGACATGATTATGATAGGACAGTGAATAAGTTCAGTGGTAAGTTTCAGAAACAAGGACAGTTGGTAAAACTCACAAAAAATCCCATCTTTCCACCGGAAAGTATTTTGGGGGTAACCCTTAAGTAATTTACATAGTGAGATGGGCAAATTTTTTTGAGATGGGAAACTTACATAGTGAGATTGGACCTTGAGGGAAGAGGGGGATATCTTTAAAGTAGGATATCCAAAAGAGATATTCAAGTTTCTACATGTTGCCATAACAGTTTCCTCCTAGAGTCAATCAGTCCATCCTTCAGGGATGCTCCTTAAGCCAGAAGGTAAACAACTCAAAATAGCTTCAGGAAGTCCCTGAAACTAACCAGATTCACTAGGCCTCACCCTGTCTTCTACTGCAAACAATAAAAGCTGAGAGTCCCTCCTCAGAGGCAGTGAAGCTACAGCTGCCTAGAAGAGGTTTAGACCAACCCACAGGCCATGCAGTGTTCCAGGTTCCCATCTTTGTGACCTGTCATCCATGCTGGGGTGGACTTTGATGATGCAGCTGTCTATGAATCATTTCCACTCCTGTAAGGAGCCCCTCACCCATATTCCTGAAAGTAACCCCAATAAAGGTCGTTGGTTCACTAAGTTAGACTTGGTGGTGTCTGTGGAGAGTAGATTTGTATTGTCTCCCTAGGGAAAGTTTTGTCACACAAAACCATTGTTGAGCAAGAGCTTCCTAAATCTTTCCTGGTACAGTACACTCTTCCCCTTTCCTGTTCTAGTTGCCTAGGACCCAGGACTTCCTGTACAGTTCTGATTCGCAAAGCCGCTACAGCAGTTACAAACCACAGTTTGAGCCTTGATTATTGGCACACTAGATTATTGGCACAGTCACAAGACAGTGCCTCTGTGTCTGGCAAATCACAATCTTTTCTATCTCCATGGTACATATTTCTATGTTACTACATGAAGCACTTAACCAAGATGGCTTCCCGTCAGAGGCAAATGCATTGTATATCGACACCAACTTCATACAATGGGCATCACTAACTATAACAAGTCACATGACTTGTGATTAAAGATCTGGTTGACTTAAAAAACTATATTTTTCCAAGTTGACTATTTCCAAATCGTCATTTATTCATTCACTCAACAGGTAATCATCAGTTTTTCATGGTGTGCCAGACAGGGTCCCAGGAGTCACTCAAAATCAAAATAAACCAAAAAGATCCTACATTCACTTGAAACTTACGTCTCAGTGATTGCATGGGATTTTACGGACTCTCCTCTAGGTGGGGGAATGGTTTCCAATGCTTTCATCATCCCTTTGAACATCTGGTAACTTCTGGAGCCGGATTTGGTTGTCACCGCTAGGAGACAAGGAGCTCACGGCATCTGCTGGATACAGGACAGGGATGTTACTAACCCGCCCGCCCCACAAGCACAGAATAAACAGCTCCATAGACTTCCCTGTGGTAGTGTTTGAAGATGGTGATCACCCCTGAGGGAGCAGTGACTGCGAGAAGGCCTAAGAAGGCTCCTGGGTGCCAACTGAACACATGAGTTTAGTATGTAAAAACTCACAGACCCTACATTTGTGTTTTCTATGTATTTTAGTGTATAGTCCCCACATTCTTTGAAAGTCCTCCCAGAAAACAGTAGGGTCTATGTGCCTTCCTCTTGCAGCTTACATCTATGACTGTTTAAGCAATAAGGTGCAGCAGACACAATGTTGCATGGCTTTCAAGAGCCAGGACTTAGAAAGTTAGAAGTTCTGAACCAGTAAAAAGGACTCCGAGGAGAAAGGCGCTTGCTGCCAAGCCTAACAACCTGAGTTCCCACACAGTGGAAGAAGAGAACCAGCTCCCACCAATTATCTTCTGATTCCCACATGCATGCTAAGACACATGTGAATGAACACGTATGCATTCACATACAGTAAATAGATGTTAAAAGAAAAACGAGCAGTTCCCACTCCTGGTACTTAAGTGGGACACTCACTTTTGGAACCCACCACCATACCTGGTGAACCCCAAACAGCCCTTAGAGAAATCCACATGGAGGCCTGTGCCCTGGGTCATGACAGAACTCCCACAGACAGCTCCCATCACTTTGCCAGCCAGGTGAATGAGCAATTCTGAAGTGGATCTTCCGGCTGTTAGATGAACTTCCCTTCCCAACCCTCTGTGCAGAAAAGACACACTCCCTGCTGAGCCCTACCCAAATTACAGGTTGAAGAACTACACAGAATGCTGCTGCTGAGTAAAGCCACTAACTAGAGCTTCAGGAAGTTGGGTAGGCAACATTCTGCAACCGGAAGCATGTTAAGTCAAAAACATTTTTCATTGTTTCTTTTTTTTTATTGTTGTTGTTTATTATTATTCTTTTATTTAGCTGGCCTCGAACTCGTGATCCCCCTGCCTCTGCCTCCTTCAGCAAATCCTACCAGTGTGTGCCACCTCAACCAACATTAAAAATAATTTTTTAAAGGTGTTGGAGAGATGACTCAGCAGTTAAAAGCACTTGCTGCTCTTCTAGAAGACCTGAGTTCAATTCCCATAACCCACACCAATGGCTCACAACTCCCTAAATATACACTAATGTAAAGCTCTGTGTCTTCCTGGGTTAAATCCTCAGGTGTGGGGTGGTGGGCAAAGAACACATATTTGTGCAGGTTTTGTTTTGTTTTGTTTAAGTTATACCCCTACTCAGGGAAAATTTAAAACTTCCACTTATTTTTATGGATAAATAGATGTTGCCCTTCTTCTCAAGACATATAACATTAGATTACCTTTACAAATAATCACAGATTCCTTTAACATATGACTGCTGTTTATTTAGAATTACTTATCATATTTTTCTTCCTTAAGACCTCAGCAAAAAGAAGCTGAGGAGACGGCTCAGTTAGTAAAGTTCTTCCATAAAGCACACACACACACACACACACACACACACAGAGAGAGAGAGAGAGAGAGAGAGAGAGAGAGAGAGAGAAAACAAGAAGAAAATATACGAATAAGGTACAGTATCAGAGTGATTATTTTAGGCTGTCTATTCTTGTTATTATCCAGAACCAGGCTTTAATTTTCCAAACAAAGCCCAATTTCTAGCCCCTTATACACCCACAATTCACTTTTTTTTCTCCTCAAACATATCCATCCTCCACACCTATGAGTATTTGGGCTGCACAAATTGGAACAATGAGCTATAAAGAGAAAACACGAAGTTGGGGGGAGGTAGAGATGGGGATTAGATCTGGGAGGAATTAGGGGAAAGGGTGGGAGGTGAATACGACCAGCAGGCATTATATGAACTATGGAATTCTCAAAAAAAATATTATATTTAAAAGGCATGTTCGTTGAGCATGACAGGATTCAGGGATGGAAATCACAGGCTCCAAGCATAACTTTGTGAAGGGTAAGGCACGCATCCATCTCAGGGTGCCAAGTTATCGTCCCTCTTCAGCCTCTCAGACCCTCTTGCTAAAACCTGCCTTCAAAATGTCCTTCCCCGTTGAGTTTTAATGTTTGTTTTGTTTGCGAGACGGTCTCGTGTAACACAGATTGACCTCAAACTTGCTGTGTGGCCACGGATTACACAGAGCTCCTGCTCCTCCTCATTCACCTCCAGAGAGCTGAGATTACAGATGAACGGCGCGCCCCTCTCGCTCAGTCTTCTCTCCTCCCGTCTTCCTGGTGCCTGGGACACCTGACCTCCCCCAGGTCTGACCCGCAGCAGTGACCCGGACCTGATAAGTGGACCAGGCTATTTTTCTCTTTGAACCTTTGTGTCCAAAGTACGCTGATTCTAATCTCCCCCACCAACGAGCTGTGGTAGGAATTCTGGTTTCTATATTTCTCTTCAGCTTGTGGAATAAACATTTGTTTGGTTCTGTGTGCCTTGCAAAACCACACCATGCAGGGGATCCAAGTGCGACTGAAATTCATTTGTCTGTCAGGCTGAATGGCAGGGGTCCTGCGACAACCCAATCCCCCTTTTGCTGGCTTTAACAGAAACACCCAGAATATCTCATTTCTGTTGTATCTGCTCACTAGGTGTTGTCCTGTTCCATGACTTTTCAGGCTGTCCTTAAATGTGGCCAGTGTGACTGAGTAATTCGTAAGTTTCTTCTCTGTCCTCCAGTTTTGTCTGTTCTGACTGGCTTTTTCTTCTGAGCCTGGTGCCTATTCCTCCCATTCAAAGGCAACCACGCCCCGCCTGCGGTGGTAGAAGGCGCAGTTCATTCTGCCCCAGCTGGACATTAGAGCCCTTTACTAGCAGTTGGGCATGCCCAAACACCAAACTGAATTTAAATCCTATTGCTCTGTAGTACAACTTGAAAACCAGCCTTTTAAAAAGTCTATGGATGCTTTTTGTTGTTGGTTTTGTTTTGTTTTGTTTTGTTTTTAAAGAAAGGCAGGTTAGCCTAGGAACTCACTATGTATGGAAGTATGAGACTGAATTCCTGATCCCTCTGCCTCCACCTCTTAAGTGCTGTGTCACACTCGATTGCTTTGTTGTTGTTGTTGTTGAGACAGAGTCTATGTAGCTCTGATTGCTCTGGTCTCCGAGTTCAAGGCCAGCCTGGTCTACAGAGATATCCAAGACAGCCAGGGCTACATAGTGAGACCCTGTCTTGAAAAACAAAACAAAACAAACAAAAAAGAAAAAAGAGAGGGAGAGAGAAAGAGAGAGAAAGAGAAAGAGAAAGAGAGAGAGAGAGAGAGAGAGAGAGAGAGAGAGAGAGAGAGAGAGAGAGAGATTTTTTAAAACCTTATGGTATGCTCATAAAAAGGAGCCCTCCTTGGCAATACAAAAGAATGCGCTATAGGCACCCACAATAGTGTAGATGAACCTCAGAAGAATTACTGTGCATGAAAAAAGGCAGACCCTCCTCCCCAAAAGAACCCAGCCTATTCATACAGGAAATGGAAATTAAAATACAAAGTACAGTGAGAAAAAGCAGAGACTGGTTTTGACTAGAGAGGATGGGAAAGCAGAGGCTTTCCAGAGGAGCGTGGGAACCTTGGGGTGACAGTCATGTTCGGTGATTGCAGTGATAGATTCACAGAGGTCAAGACATCCAATGATACATCTCAGATCCAACTTCTGTGTCAATTATACCTGGACAGAACTGAAAAGTACTTTCTAACAGTGTCTCCTCAGCCAATAGATGCAATCATTGTAATCTTGTATCTGGTTGACAGGCAGCTGACAGGTTTGACCTGAATGGCTTCTACCACCCTGTCGTGGCTATTAACGATCCCTAGTTTTTCTGTTGCTGTTGGAATTTGTTTGCTCTGTTTTGAAACATGTTCTGTCTCTGAAGCTCAGGATGGCCTTTCTTTGATAATACTCCTACCTCAGCTTCCTAAATTCTGGGCGCACAGTTATGGATGCATTACCATATTCTGCTTGGCAATCACTGTTCTTTGAAATGTACAAGTAGAATAGACATCTTTTTCCCCCTTGGTATGAGATAAGTCGCTATGCAAACAGCTTGAAGAGACATTCCCCGTTTCTGAGTCTAACCAACACCAGCAATTCTTCTATCACCCCACAAGGCCTTCCTCCCATTGCGATCCTTCCTGTAATATGAAGCCACGTTATTAGTTCTTATAACTTTTACTGCACTGATATTTCACTGATTTATAGACATTTCTCTTCTGATCAGAAGTCACTGAGTTTTGCAAAATGTAAGCAGTGACCCTCTTCCGAGTCCTCTGCTTCCACTGAGTTCTTCTGCTTTACTCAAGAGATTCTAATCTTGTCGTGTGCATTTCAAATGTTCCCTGGTTCACATAACAACAAGGATTAGGGAATTATTAGGGGATAAAGATTGCTTTGAAATCAAATATTGCTGCCGCCCAGCACCAGAACCAATCCTGCTGAACCAACGGCCACAGAAGTCCTTGTTCCCTTCCTTTGTCTGCCTCTCAGGCTGTGTGATTTGGTTTCCCTAAGGGAGGCTGTGTTCCATTCTGTTTTGATAGTATCCCGATCCTCCAGATCAACTCATTCACAATATGGTATGCTCCTGCAAAGCCACCCGGCTGCGTTATTTCCAAATCACTCACCCTGTTATTGAGCTAGCAAAGCGAACTAGCTCAATCATTAATATAAAAGCACTGTAAGATGGTGTGCGTCCTTGCTTCAGGGAGACAGCAGTTTTTATTAAAGAATGAGGTTTCTGTAAGAAACAATTCAATAGCCCTGTAATTCCCAAGAGCTTGAGGCAAATTAACCAGAGGATTTAAAACCCCTTTATCAAGAATTTTTAATAATGAATGGAAGCAGGATTTAAAAACAGAACACGCACGCACGCGCGCACACACACACACACACACACACAC